GATAAATATTTATCATATTTTATTTTGGGAACAAATTCCGCAACACTTTTACTTAAAATGTTACTCTGATTTTTAAACAAAGCATAAACAAAAATCGGTTTTTTCTGGCCGTGAAAAATGGGGATGTCACAGTTGATTTCTGCCATTCAAGTATCACATAGAAATCTTTGTGACTTCGAGAGTATACTTAATCAAGCTAAGAGACTCTATGTCACGAAAGAACACCAATCGTATTCTCCAAGATATTTAACTATACTTAGAGTAAAGTTAAGTGTGGAGATGATAGTATTCACAGAATTCACACAAATTAAATTTTGACAGATCCATTGATAAAGTCATTCTTTTGAGCTAAGTATGATTGGTCACACTTCAGCTATAAGACTTTATTATTCTAGAAATGGGTTTTTGATTTGGATTTAGTATTTGGCAAGGTTGCAGAAATCGCTCGACGTAGGCTAATCGGTGGACTGGGGTCAAATGATTAATCGGCTAGGCGGGGATTAATCGGGTACCATTAATTATTACAAAAATTATTAAAAAATTAATAAATATAACAGTAATCCTAAGAATATAAGTAAAAAAGTATAACAAGTTAATAAATATAACATTAATCCTAAGAATTAAAAAAATTATTACACAATTAAACTAACTAATCTAGTTTTTTGTTAAACAGGCGAACTTAGTAAACCTACATCAAGAATACAACAAACAACCTAAAATCAATGAAGTTGTGAAGCAATCAATTCCATGGTTCTATCACACAAGCATTTAATCGAGCACATGGTATGCATCAGCGCTTCTAACATTGTTTCGATTCAACAACTGTGTTGCTAATTCCAATTCTCCAACTTCGATAGATTCAACTGGTTTGGAATTCACATCGATAGATTCCAATTTCTCCTAATTTCAATTCTCCAACTTCATACACATTTCAACATTAACAAGAAAAAAGTAAAGACATTCATACAAATTTCAACTCCTGTGAATTTATTGAAAATCGATTTCAGATACACAACTATTATCGGATGCTGTTGTCGACAAGTTTGATGGTGGCCTGCAAAGGAGACTGCAACGTACGATGGTGGCCTGCAAAGGAGATGTTGCTTCTTCGTTTTCATTCCAACCAACATCACCACCACTTCTGCCCTACATGTTACAACCTGCAACAACAGGGATCTTGGAGGTTCAATGGTGATAGAGCACAAGTCTTGGAGGTTCAATGGCGACGGAGATGGTCAAAGAGGAGCACAACTCTTGGAATTAATCGATTATGGTGTACAAGTCTTGGAATTGATCGAGTACAGTTGTTGGGTTTAGACACTGTAGCATTTTGAAGGAAACATAGGTCGACGGGGATGGGGCAGGGGTAGAAGGAAAATAGCGACTAGCAACATAGGGAAAAGAATGATGAAGGCAACGCAGGGAAGAAAAATAAGTTTCAGCATCCCACATCGCCAGTGGGAGCATTCTCTGAGGGGAAACATTTTCTATAAAAGGGAGCATGTATCTATCCACCTAATATAACCCAAGCCAAGTATATTTTAGGCAAGCGGCTCCTTTGAGCTGGCTGGTTTAAGCCATTTTGGTCCGATTTTGGGTCCGAGTTGGGCCGACTTAGTCCGATTTGGACCGATTTGGATCGTCTTTGACCGATGTTGACCAAGGCCGATTAATTAACCCTCTAACACCTGTTCGTAGGCGGTTAGAGGCCGGCAAGCGCCTAGGCGCCGATTAATCGACCGCCTAGACCGATTTTTGCAACACTGGTATTTGAATATTGGAACATTATAACAACAACTATTAGATAATGTTATGATGTATTAGGATATAGTCATCACATTAATACTTGTTGTGTTCTATATTAACATGTTTATTCCATGAATAATATTATTATTCTAAAAGTTCATAGTCGGTTATAATTGTGGGAGCAATTATGAAGTAAGACTAATATGAATTGGATTGGTCGACTCTCACTAGATGAAAGTAGGCAAGTGGTTGTAACCAAGTTTCATAGATACTTGTTAGAGAACTAATATTGAACTAACCCGCATCAAGATCATCTCATAGATCGCTATCATGAATGATACTTGATTAAAATGTACTATCTTTGTATCCTTAACACCTGAGATAAATAGTGGGACTTAAGTGTAGGGAGTAGAATGTTTTGATAATAGCCAAATGTTGTTCCTTAACCGGACAGTTATAAAAGCCATGTTTAGGTATGGTATGAACTACACAAGAGGCTTATGTAGTCAAGATGGCATTTGTTCCTCTTATGTGTTGAGAGTTAGACATCTAACGTGCCTTACCAAAAGTTGAACAACTAATGAGATTGATCGCGATCTAAATCTCATGTTCAACATGATGTCTGTAGCAAAGGGATAACTGATAAACTTACCTTATATACCAATTGTAGCTTTGAGCTTTTTGGGAATTGGGCGTTAATAGAATGGCACAAACAGTCATATGGTCTTAGGAGCAATGAAATGTTGCTAGACGTTCACCACTGTCTATATCAGTATAATATGAGTATTGCGCAAGTGGGAAATTGAAAGATCTAGTATGCTCAAGAGTCATATTAAAGTGATATTGCTAAATAACATATCATACTAATGGGTCACACTATCAACTTGATAAAATTGATTATTTATTAGAAATTTATTTTAATAAATATTCAATAAAACTCTTATAATTAAATTGGAAATTATTTATTTCATGGAAATAATAATTTTCATTAGCAAGTAACATTACATAATTCATATGGTATGAATTAATAAGTTGTGTACAACTTTTTGGACTAGTTGAAACTTTTTTGTCTTTTATTCAAAAGACAAAGTTTATATTTTATAAACCTTGAGTTTATAAAATTTAAACTAGCTTTTTTCTTTTATATATAAATTTCGAAATTTGCATAAAAAGATGAAAAGTATGGGCTTTCCATTAGTTTATTCAAAAGTAATGAAGCATGGGAGACATGTTTATGACATGGGGACATACGTGCTTAAAGTGTTAAGACCTAATGGTTAATACCTTCAGTTTATGCATATAAATAAGAGGCTTGCACTCTTGAATGATACACCATTCCTTCTTCCTTACTAGTGGCCGAAACTCATTCTCTCTAGTTTTGCTTTGAAGACTTGGAGATTACTTGCTTTCACATGCCCTCTTTAAGTTTATATTGGTTATGAACTTAAAACTTAAGGGTTTAAGAGTTTTGGACTAGCATCTACATCAAGTTGAGTCATTGTTCGTGTCTTAAAGGTTCTACATTCTTCATCAACTTCCAAGCATCCCAAGAGGACCCAAAGAACTACAAAGGTTGTTATTTCTTCACCTCTTATTTTGTTGGTGTTTTAATCTTTCTATAACTTGCAAGAAGATCCTTGGTGGGTATAAAATGTTTATGTTATTTCAAAAATTAAAGTCTTCCGTTGCCATATTTTTCTAGTTTATGAAACTATTTTTGAACTAAAACCCAACAATTGGTCCCACACACTCCTTTACTTTCCTCTCTAACCTTGGTTGGTCGACTGGTCATTCATCCTCATCGTTGATTACTTCCCCCATCCATAACCCTCCGTCGTCTTCTCTGTAGACTTGAAACTCCTCCTCCTCGATCTTCACCGTTGAGTGGCTCCTTCAACCTTTCGCCACTAGCCACCTCTTCATCACTAATAGAAACCCAACCTCAAAATTACCCCTTTGTGACCTAAATGTCGCTGCAAAACTGTTACTCACAACGACGACCTCGCCAATCCGACTGTCGCCTCTCTCTCTCTCTCTCTCTCTCTCTCTCTCTCTCTCTCTCTCTCTCTCTCTCTCTCTCTCTCTCT